TGGACTGGAAAGGATACGGTATTAACATCAATGGTCAAAATATAAAAACCCACATTCAATTTGCCGACGATATAGTCCTTATGGCAGAATCGCTGGAGGACCTAAGCACCATGCTCAATGACCTCAATAGTGTCTCCCAACGAATAGGTCTTAGGATGAACATGGACAAAACAAAGATCATGTTTAATGTCCATGTCACACCTATGCCGGTAGTTGTTGGGAGCACTAAGCTCGAAGTTGTTGACGAGTATGTTTACCTAGGACAAATAGTCCGACTAGGTAATTCCAACTTCGATCGAGAGTTCAATCGACGGATTCAACTCGGCTGGGCAGCGTCGGGAAACTACGACACATCTTCTCGTCAGACATACCTCAAAATCTTAAAACGAAATTGTACAACCAGTGCGTGTTGCCAGTGATGACTTACGGATCTGAGACGTGGTCCTTCACTGCTGGCCGTATGAGGAAGCTCAAGGTCGCTCAACGAGCTATGGAGAGGGCTATACTCGGGGTTTCTCTGCGTGATAAACTTAGAAATGAGTATATCCGCAGTAGAACCAGAGTAACCGACATAGCCCAACGGATTAGTAAGCTGAAGTGGCAGTGGGCCGGCCATATAGCTCGAAGAACCGACAACCGATGGGGAAGAAAGGTTCTTGAGTGGCAGTCTCGTACCGGTAGGCGAAGTGTAGGGCGACCCCCCACGAGATGGAGTGACGACCTGGTAAGACATGCAGGAAGTCGATGGATAACATTTTTTAATGTTATCCACCTCAATTGAATACAATTTAAGTTCATATACCAATGCTTGCTTTTCTTTACATACATTAGCATAATTTTTGGTATTAATCTTATTTTTATTAATTTTTGAATTTTCTTCATGTATTTATTAACTTTTATATATTTCTTCAATTTGGTTTTACTACAAATAATTAGTTTTTCCTGAAGTAAATTGAAAGAGTCGTCACCTGTCAAATCTACTGTTGCAGATTGCTGTAATATTTTAGAATTATTACAGTGCACAACCTCAGAGAACAGGCTTTGAGTCTGGGAGGCTTTTAGGTTATCTATGTATGTTTTAAATTGTGCTATTTGCTCATTAGCCACATTCAACTGTAACTTCAATGCAGCAATAAACCTGAGATTCCTTGCTGCATTGGTCAAACTCATTAACCGTTCCCTGTAGCTGATCTCTTTCTTTTATAATACTTGTGTAATCTGTATGTAACTTAACCATATCACATTTCAATTGTGTATTTTTGACAATTATGCAAACTACTTCCTTTTCATTATCATCCCTTTCCTTAAGCAACAGTTCATACTGCTCTTTGGACGCCTTAAGTTCTTGAAGCGGAAGCTGAAGTTGGTTCTTCATCTAGTATATCTTGGCGTTGTTTAATTTTACTATTTATTGTAAATAATAAAAGAATACAAAGATCGAATCAGAAGAAGCAGTGTAAACTAATGTCCAGTTGCAATTTTTTTCCTAATATTGCAAATATCCCCCTGTGAGACAATCTATGAGGAAGGCCTTTTTTTAACCCTCTCAGAACGGGAGTCCTGAGCCCAGCGGTGGGACATATGTACGGGTTATATCTTCGCTTTGTTAGCCGACTTCCAGAAAGGAGGAGGTTCTATGTTCGACTGTATATTTTTATATATGTTCATCGATATATACGTCAATAGTGGAGCGAGTTTGAATTTTTTGGATAATTAAATAGGTTATCATGCAGAAGTGGTCCCATATAAATATGGACAAGGAATTACACCCCTACTAAGGGTATAAAAATAGGGGATGAAGTTTTTAATGTAACTATTTAGGCGACTTTGGGATTGTGATATTCTTTAGTCCATTTAAAGGGTAAAAAAGATAACTTTTCACAAAATAAAAGCCGAGTTAAATTTTTGTTTACACTATATCTTAGCACTGACTTCAAAATGTAATTTTTTTTCATTCTTTAGTACTTTTTGTTAAAGTTATTTTTTTGTGTAAAGGATTATCAGGTCGACAGGCGACCGCTTAGCCCCAGAGCTACTACGGCTATAATCCTATTAACGTACACATGTGTGCGTAATTACGTAACTGTTATAATGCTGACTTTAATATTGTGACTTCTATTATATTTTATTTGCAATAGTAGGTCTATTATATTTATTTTCCCACACTTCATAATAACAAACAGTTTACGCCTAAACAATCAACACCAGACAACATAAAATCTACGAAACATTGGACGATTACAATATTATATATTCTTCTTCAACTTCCTTGTCGAACTTGCCCTCGTCGTCTACCGTCGCACTTCGGTACTGTTGATGCTCTGACATCAGGACGTTCGTAATGCTCTCCGCTTTTCTAAACTCCATTTCATCCATACCTTCCAGTGTACCAATGAAGGAAAGCCTTCCAAGGAAACATGGCGGTGAACTGCTCAGATATACTCTTAAATAGTTTTTGTATGGCTGTGCTGTTCCCGATAAACGTGGTTCGACTAACAGGACTTCCTTTTGTACCTAATCTTATCTATTTCTAACGCCAAATGTCAGAACGTACACTACTGTGTACCATTCTGAATAGTAGAGCTAATGTAATAACTTTTTAACCCTCAGTATTCTTGTTTGTTTGAAATTGGCTGCAGGTGTCCATGCACTCCAGTAGCCACTTACCATCGCTGATCACGTGGTAAGTGAGCAAATTTTCATTCTTACCTTTAGCCTTTCGTCTAAGGGGTAGGTAATAATTGAGAGCCGAGGCGACAACAAAGGCAGCTGAACTAAGTAAGTGGAGCAATTATGAGTCCGAGAGATGACTACGTATTTGTGTAATTTGCTGTAAAGTCTCTCGTTTTGTCAAGACTATTCAGTCCGTAGAGTCCACGTGCGGTGAAGTTCTTAAAGGGACTGAATCAGCGCTTGGGTGTCACTGCTGGTGATAAGAGATCGAGATTGTGGCGGGCTCGTGTGTCGAGTCATCTAATTCCTTTTATTATGGTGGCGGGGGGTGACGGCTGTCTCAATCGTCATTCTTGTGAACTGCGACTGCTTGCGGGACCTACTCTACTTCGGTTCTGCATGCACTGACAAGATCCAATTTTCAAGATCAAGATCCTTTTTTAGTTTATTAGAAACGTTCATGAGGCGTTTACTTTTGGGTTTTCCAAACTATTTTTGGGGAATCAAAAGTAGTTTGGAAAACCCAAAGTCCCCCCGTAAAAATGGTTGCTGCGAAACTCCTGAAACTTCGGCAATGTTTAAACGTATGAATAAAATTAGACGCGGTAAAAGCCATGAAAATAGTTTTATTCAAAGTTATTTAATCGTCGTGTAAATATAAGATTATATTTCATTTAATTTCAATGAATTCTCATTACGCGTAGAAATGTGTTAGCGGATTGTAAAGACGCACGCAGAATAGAATTAGAAAGCCAAGTCCATATATACCAGTTCCAAAAACATGGTTCGATATATTAAGCTAAAGTTCAATTATTTAACTTTTATATTCAGTTAGTTAGTAGTTCATTCGATGGATAACTTTTATCCGACGATTGAAGAATGAGCTATTCGTTAAGTAGCGGATACGTCAAGTCAATATTAATTTTTGTACGTGGTAGAGCCATGCTGTAGCTATATTAGTAGGACCACCCTCTCACAGAATACCAACGTTACATATATACTGAATGCTGCTGTGTTTCGTATGGTGAGTGTAGAGAATCAGAGACCTTTTTTATTAAAAACGAGGCATGCATTCGAGGGTGCATTTTGTTTCGCAATCGAGGATAGATATAGATGTCTATGGACCACAGTAACCACTTACCATCAGGTGATCTGTGTGCTCCTTTGTCACCCTTATCCTATATAAAAAAGTATTTCACGTGTTTTTTTAATACATTTAAACACGAGAAAACGTATCTTTATTATAACGCTAGTGTGATGAACGAGCTTGCAGACCACCTGATGATAAATGACAACTATCCAAAGACACTTGCAGTTAGCACTAAAGAAAGCAATAGAAAGTTTATTTTTACTAGGTTAGTCTAGAGACTCATTTAGTGGCCAGAAGACCTATAAGTAAGTACGAACCTCTTACCTCTTCCTGCTGCCAGACAGCAGTGAGTGTATTGCTGCGTTCCGGTCGGAAGGGTATAGAGAATTTAAATAATTACGTGCTAGGAGACACAATCATTCAACAGCCACTCACCATCAGGTGGACTGTTAAGTTCCATTGCCACTTCAGTTTTATAAAAATATAATTAAAAATTAAATATTTTGTACAACCGACTTCAATATAAATTATTAAGAATAACTCAAAAACTATTGGTCAGACCTTGATCAAATTTATATGGGACTACATGTGAAGCACCAGCTTTCAAATGAAAAAAGAATCATCGAAATCGGTTTAGCCAGTAAAAAGTTATAAGGTAACACACATAACAAACATACAGTCGAATTTAGTACCAGCTCCTTATTGAAGTCGTTAGAAAATACAGTAAACCTGATATTTATTATTGTGATGCCTTTCAAAATACCTGAAAATACCTAAAGAAGAAGAAAATAGAAATTGATTTCTACTGCAGCGTTAGTCGGTGTTATGCCTTATGAGGGTTACTATGGTCACCCTGATTCTCTTAGTGGTTCAAAAAAGACTTTAGAATACTTCAACAACAATTGTTTGACAGAAAAAAACCTAGATAAGAGACTTATTCACTCGTCCCTCTAAAGTAATAAGTATTTTTACCATGGCTTTATTAACTCGCTTTTGTGTATGTCTGTTCGGATCGAATTTATCAATTGATTTTAAACCAACTTCCCGATGAGCTAGACATGAATGACGGTGTAAGAAAACATGGTATGTTAAAAAATATTAATACATACTTTGTTTAAATTTCACTTGTTTTAAATTAATAACGCTCAAATTTTAAGTAATCATGTTCATTAGCTTAACGTTTTGTTTTAATTAAGCTGTCAACATTAATAACACTCTTTGTCTGTTGCTTTCAGATATGCTCCAGTCTTTATTGCAGCCAAGAGATAATCAGCGGTGTAAGTGAAGGTTTCTTATAATATATAAGACGAACAGCTCATCGATTTAGTAAGGCGATACGAAAGTATTTATAATATTAAACGTTAAGCCGCGTCTCCACCAAAGTTTGTTACCAACTTTTGTGTTGCCAACACGTGTTGGTGACAAATGTTTCTGTAATTACCTAGTGTTGGCAACAAAATGTGAAACAATGTCGGGAACCGTGTTTCCATTTTCGACGGCAACGTCAAAGGAATACGCTTGTTGCAAACATTTGTTCCTCAGTGGAGACGCTTGTTGGAAACATTTGTGGGTAAGATCGGAAACAAATGTTGGAAACTTTTGTTGAGTTGGAAACATAAATGTTGTCAACGTTTTTGGTGGATACGCGGCTTTATACAGTATGGAAAGAGATAAATGGTATACCTTGTGAGTACCCACCCGTTCAGACAGTGTTCAGTAATTACGCGCTTGGGCTTTGTAGACTCCGGATATGTCGGTTGAGTTCGCTCCCGTCACTCCACTCTCATTGTTTCTGCGCACAATTTATTTTAACCACGTTTTATTACTAACTGAAATACACTGCATTGCTTGGTGCTTTGTGTTTGGTTACTGCCTTGGTGTCCTTATTGTGGTGCGCAAAGCACGCTATCCCGGGTGACAGCAGTCTCACAGTGGAGTGTAGTGAACGCTTGTTGTGGTGCATAAAGTGTTTTCTGCTTAATTCTCCTTTCTGGATTCCTGGTACTGGTATCGGTAACCGTAAGTTGAGTAAAACACAGCCTCCGCCTCAGAGGCGGCCATGTTTTTAACTTTCGTGTTGCTTGTTGCATTAGGCAACAACTAGGTGCACACCCTAGCGTGCCAACGCGTTAGGTGCATAACTGTTAGTTTTAGGTACACACCACCCCCGCCGAAAGGTGAGGAAGCTGTGCTTGTGTTAGCATAGTTAACAAGATGGCGTCGATTACGATCGATGAACTTACCGACTTTTTAAGTCGCGTCTGCCCTGACATTTGGGCTGTGTTTCCCGCACAGTGCAACGCGCGTCTCACTTCCGAGCCCGCATCCGCGCCCGAACCCATGCCTCAAGCTGGCCCCTCTACCCAGCATGCCTGGCCCCCTGCTGACCGTCCGATTGTGCGCATTGATGACCCTATGTCGCCAAGCACCGGACCTACGACCCTCGTATCCATCGACGCCCTTTACGATACCGCGTCCCCCGCACCTTCCGCGATGTCCATCCGCGGCCCGTCTCCGATCTTCTCGGATGCCGAATCAGGCTCCGACATGGAGACCGAAACGCGCGTCCCGCTCAAGCCCGAAGACGAAGGATTCACCCTGGAACAAGGTAAAAAACGCAAAAAAAAAACTTATATTTACTCCAAAAAGGCAGCCGAGCCTAACTCTGCCCCCTTGTCCCCCACCACCACTCCGGCAAAAAATCCAGCCCCCGGGACGCCCGCTCAACCCTCTAAGCCTGCGGCCAAGCCTGCAGCGAAAGGGTCCCCTGCTGAACGTAGGAAAAAGCCGCCGCCACCCATAATCATCCAAGATAAATCTAAATAGAGCAATCTATCATACTGGTTGGACTCCAAAAAAATGTATTGCCCTAAGGTACAAAACGCCAGTCAGGGCATCAGAATGTTCAACTCGACTGAGGAATTCCGCAGCGTTACATACCACCTGCGCGCACAGCAAATAAGCTGTCATGCGTACGCCCCAGAGAAGCGCAATCTTCGCATAGTCGTCCGCGGGCTCCTCAAGGAACTCGAAAAGGTACATCTACTTAAAGACCTCAAAGGTCATAATCTCCCGGTCCGAGAGGTGACCTCTACAGTTGAAGAATGCTCTCGTAGGGTCCCTGTGTCGAGCAATCAACACATGAAGCTTCCGAGTGATATTCGACAACTGATTAGAGCGAAAAACACGGCCATATCTATATATAGGAATACGATCACTATCGTACCATAGGTAAGAAATTCCGACTGCGCAACCTCCAAAACCAGGTGAAACAGCGCGTTAGAGTTTAGACAGGATAATTGGAGAAATCTGCTCACTGACATCGAGCCATCACAAACTGCCTTCTGGCAGTTGTCGCAAGCTCTAAAAACAGAACAGTCCTCACCTATGCCGCCTCTCATCAGGCCAGGAAACCCTAATCTCGCCTTTGACGATTCTGAAAAGGCCGAATGCCTCGCTGACTGTTTAGAGAGCCATAGCGAACCTACAGAACCCGCTCACCTTGCAGAGGTCGAAGCGTAGGTTGAGCGTAAGTCTGCAATACCACCTGTGGGTAACCCCCTAGAACCTGTGACTGTCGACGAAGTCACAGAAGTAATTAAAAGCCTTAAAAAGAAATCAACACCCGGCCCCGATGGCATTAGCAACAGGGTACTGAAATCTCTCTCCGCACCGCTAGTATGCTTCCTGGTAGGCATATTCAACTCTCTTCTTTCTAGCTGCTCCTTCCCAGATGCATGGAAAGAGGCAGACGTAATAGGAATCCCGAAACCGGGAAAACCGCGCAACTTAACCTCTAGTTACAGACCAATTAGTCTCCTCAGCACACTGGGGAAAGTTTACGAGCGACTCATATTGAATCTTCTTCGAAAATACGTCTTCACCAACAAACTTCTTCCAGACGAGCAGTTCGGTTTCAGACCCGAACACTCGTGCACCAACCAGTTACATCGCCTCACAGAATATATTCTGAAAAGATTTAACCTCCCACAAAGTTGTCGCAGAACCACGATAACCGGTGCCCTCTTCCTCGATGTCGCTAAAGTGTTTGACAAAGTCTGGCACGACGGCTTGCTTTATGAGCTGTATAAACTCAACATGCCTGATAGGCTCATCCACACCATCAGAGCCTTTCTCGCCAATCGCCACTTTCGCTATCGAATAGAGGATAATCGCTCTACAAAACGAGGACGCTCAAGGCTGGAGTCTCACACGGCTCCGTCCTCTCCCCGCTTCTCTTCACACTCTTCACGAGTGACATCCCGAAGGACCCAGTAGTGAATTTTTACTCTTTCCGTAGATTATACGGATCTTTTCGTCGTCTATTCCAATTAAACCTCACCAAGATGCTCCAAACAACCGTCAACCGCCTAGGTAATTGGTTCCACTTATGGAGAATCGAAGTAAATCATGAGAAAAGTGTAGCAATACGCTTTCAAAGGATCTCCACTTTCAATCATTAAATCAGAAACCCCAAGAAAGCGTTAGGTACGATCACCCTCTATGGCCGCCAGATCCTCTGGCAACCAACGGCCAAAAACCTAGGGGTTACATTCGACCAAGGTATGACATTTTCCAGTAAAAAGCGTCTCCGGTTCTCTACACTCACAATATGAAACACAGCAGTGTTAAGCTGCTATTTTACGCTGGTATTCTGTGAGAGCGTGGTCCTTCTCCGATCTAGCCGACCCATTGGTGCTACAACTATACTACTAATATAGCTGCAGCATGGCTCTAACACGTATGTGTGTGCGTGTGCTGCTGTGGTCCGGTCTGGATTGTATAGAAAGTCTTGTATATTTGTGTGTAACAACGCACCTGTAGCCTTCTTATTTTGAATTTGGCTGCAGACGTCATGAGCTGTAATAGACACTTACTATAAGATGAACTGTATCTTTGTTATTTAAGCAATATAAAATGAATTTGTGTTTAATAAAAATAAATCAAATAGATAACAATTTCTCGTAAGATAAATACAAATTTGTTTATCTCCACTGAGACGTTAGTTCGTAAAAAATTCAGAAGCAGAAACAAGCGTTTTTATTTTAGATGGAGAGGCGTTTCTCTTCCACCTAAATGATATGTTCATTCCCGGTGGAGTTGACACGCTTCCAGATAAATTTCCTTGTTTCACAAATTGTAAAAATGTAGCTAGTTTTAACTACACATTATTATATCTATGAATTATTATTTATTTACATAACATCCAATTAATTTTTACGTGGTAGAGCTATGCTGCAGCTATATTAGTAGTATAGTTGTAGGTTGTAGCACGAATGGGTCGGCTCGACCGGGGAAGAGCCACGCTCTCACAGAATACCAGCGTAAAATAGCAACTTAATGCTGCTGTGTTTCGTATTGTGAGTGTAGAGAACGGGAGACCCTTGTTACTGGAAAAGAGGCATTCTATCTTAGTTCTCACGGCTGACATCGCATCTGCATTTTAATTCGCAAACGAAGATAGATGTAGATGTATATGGGCCACAGCAACCACTTACCATTAGGTGGACTGTGTGCTCGTTTGTCACCCTTATTCTATAAAAAAAAAGAAACCTACAACAACCAAGGCAAGTCTTATATATATATATATATATAAAATAATAATAAAGGCTGACAAACGTGCACACACTCCACCTGATGGTAAGTGGATGCTGTGGCTATAGACATTTATCCTCAATTAAGAATCAAAATGCAGATGCGTTGTCTACCCTGAGGACTGAAATGGAATACCTCGTTTCCAGTAAAAAGGGTTTCCGGTTCTCTACACTCACCATACGAAACACAGCACCATTAAGCTATTTTGCACTGGTATATAGAGCGTGGTCCTAAACCGTTCGAGCCGATCCATTCGTGCTACAATCGTAATATAGCTGCAGCGTGGCTCTACCACGTATAAATGCCACAACGCTCGCTCGCCAGTCATCTACATGACCTACATCCATTAACGCTCAGGTACGTCTCATCAAGTCATTAGTCGTCACTTCAATTAACGGGCGCCTGCCTTACACAGCGCTTGGCAGTACGAGGCTGATACTCGAAAGCCTTTATATTATGGTATAATTTGAAAAGATTCTAAAAAAAGTAAGCATTTCATTTTAGTTCATTAAAACGTAAAAAAATTCAACAAATATAGTAGAAATTATGTAACAAATAACGATACATTTTAAGTACATATATGATTTTTGTTTAAGTTTGTGGTCATTAAAAATTAATTAATAGTTAAAGTGTATGAGTATATGTATTATTGAACGTGGGATAAACAGTCGGAAGGACAAATAAACTGTTTGTGTTTGTAATGGGCTCGTACTGTTTTAGGTACTTTTTTCTAAACTTCTCTTTTTAAAACTTCTCCACAATACGTTGATGGGTCACATTGCGAAGTTTTTGTGAGATTCCAACGGCTACTGGAGCCAGCAGACAGTCGATGACAGTACCTCAAAGCGCTTTAGCAGACACATTATCTTGAGGTTCACATCATCATCGGAGCACTCGTTTCATCATCTCCACTAATTAGTTCACCAACTATCCAAACCACCAAAACCACTTCAAACTATTATGTATTCAGTTAAATAAGAACAGCAGTAAAGGTCACCGGAGGTTAAGTTCCTCCAAAACTCCCAAGGTCATTCAAGTTTCTTAAAGCCTTTTTTTTTATTTAATCGTTATTACACACCTTAGAATAAGGACGGACATAATGCCTTATGGCATTCTCTAGCAGTCAACACTGGATAATTTGAGAAACTGTGACAGATGTAACCTGCCTTGCCTGCAGCAGAAGAATCACCACAATGGATAGAACTACGACTCTACCTTAGCACGCGTAGAATGACTTCACTCATAGAATGACTCAAGATAAATCTCTCGCGTTCTGCACCTACACTTAACTTTATACTGCACAAACGATGGGAGGTTCTCGAAATATCCTTGATTCCAACTCGCCACCATAGATATGACTCTCCACTAAAGTGACGCAACCTCTCGCTCACTATCGATCCAAACGTATTTTATAGACGCACCTACATACTTAATACCTACTATATTATTATATTATTATTATTATAAAGCCATTTATTTCCTTAACAAAATTATTAAAGTACATTTTATTAATTATTAATTTCATTAAATAATTTAAAATTAGAAACAAAATTATAACATAATCAGATCATGAAAGAAAATACATTTAAATAAGATAAAATTATCGTTACAATCAATAATGACTATCCACTTTTTGATACATGTTTAATGAGTTTTTATTTATCTAATTATTGTTAAGGACCTCCCTACGAGTATAGGCCTCCTCCAGATTTTTCCACTTTTCCCTATATAATAAAGAATAAATAATAAATATAGCGGTAAAATAGAACTTAAAGTTACAGGTTACAGCCAATATATACGGCCCACTGTACGTCACAGGCCTCCTTTCACTTCTGAGAGTGTTTATGGTAAGGAAGTGTCCGCCGCGCTGCCCCAATGCGGATGACGATGTTGGCGGACTTCACATGTCTTGGAAATATATATTTCGTTTTATTTCTCAGACATGCAGGTTTAATCACGATGTTTAATTCACAGGGCACGTGGTAAATCAGCTCTTAAAATTGCAATTAACAATTTCGTTGGTGACGGCGGGAATCGAACCTGGGTTGTTGGCGTACTGTGAAATTTACAGCGCGGGCTAACCCACTGAGCTACCACGGCTTTGTAAATGTAGCGTATGTGAGGGTAATATTGTTATCCGGTTAATATGGTCACTTTCTTATAACTCAAAAACTACAGCCTTCTTTGAATACATGGCACTGTGATACGATAGCTTTTCATCAGTCAGTCAAATAATAAAAGGCGCTACTTTACGGACGCCATTTTGATAGTTGACATTATATTAAATTTGGTCATTAACTGTTCTTTTTTTAAGTTGATTTTTCGAAGTGAAGAAGTACCTAATTATTGCCAAAGCTTGTTTTTTTTTCTTAATTTATTAGTTATAGTGTACGACTTTGTGTTTGTGCCTCTGACCTCCTCTTAGTTTTGGTTTAATAGGGAGGCGAAGCTTTATGTGATTATATTACCCTCACGTAGCTTCCTTAGTATAGTTAGTATAACGATTGCCATGTATATGTGTGATATGTGCAGCAAAGATGATTGGCGCGATGCCCGCAGTGGCGGTGCGGCACGAGCGGCGGCGTGCGGAGAAACGCGGTGGCGGCGGACGGCGAGCGTCTGCACTGCCGGGCCGCGAGGATGAGCCCGAACTAGCGCCCCTCCGCCTGCGCAGCGAGCTCTACGTCTGCGGCAAGGTACGCCCGTACTTTAATTACTTACATTTGGAATGTTATATTTCACCCTTGACTAGCTTGAGTTGTGTAGTGAGCTCTTCGTCTGCGGCAAGATACGCCCGCACCTTCATTAAGTACTTACATTTGGAATGTTACATTTCACCATTGACTAGCTTGAATCACGCAGCCAGCTCTACGTCTGCAGCAAGAATCGCCATCACCTACAGTATTTACATTTGGAATGTTATATTTCACCCTTGACTAGCTCGAGTCGCGTAGTGAGCTTTACGTCTGCGGCAAGAATCGCTTGCACCTTCATTACTTACATTTGGAATGTTATATTTTACCCTTGACTAGCTAGAGTCGCGTAGTGAGCTCTACGTCTGCGGTAAGAATCGCCAGCACCTTCATTACTCACATATGGAATGTTATATTTTACCCTTGACTAGCTAGAGTCGCGTAGTGAGCTCTCCGTCTGCGGCAAGAATCGCCAGCACCTTTATTACTCACATTTGGAATGTTATATTTTACCCTTGACTAGCTAGAGTCGCGAAGTGAGCTCTACGTCTGCGGCTAGTTATCCCCTCACCTTCATTACTTACATTTAGAATGTTACATTTCACCATTGACTAGCTTGAGTTGTGTAGTGAGCTCTACGTCAGCGGCTAGGTATACCCGCACCTTCATTACTTACATTGGGAATGTTATATTTCACCATTGACTAGCTTGAATTGTGTAGTGAGCTCTACGTCAGCGGCAAGATACGCTCGCACCTTCATTATTTACAATGGGAATCTTATATTTCACCATTGACTAGCTTGAGTTGCGTAGTGAGCTCTACGTCAGCGGCAAGATACGCCCACACCTCCATTACTTACATTGCGAATGTTATATTTCACCATAGTCTAGCTTGAGTTGTGTAGTGAGCTCTACGTCTGCAGCTAGGTACCCCCGCACCTTCATTACTTACATTGGGAATGTTATATTTCACCATTGACTAGCTTGAGTTGTGTAGTGAGCTCTACGTCAGTGGCAAGATACGCCCACACCTCCATTACTTACATTGGGAATGTTATATTTCGCCATAGTCTAGCTTGAGTTGTGTAGTGAGCTCTACGTCTGCAGCTAGGTACCCCCGCACCTTCATTACTTACATTGGGAATGTTATATTTCACCATAGTCTATCTTGAGTTGTGTAGTGAGCTCTACGTCTGCAGCTAGGTACCCCCGCACCTTCATTACTTACATTGGGAATGTTATATTTCACCATTGACTAGCTTGAGTTGTGTAGTGAGCTCTACGTCAGCGGCAAGATACGCCCACACCTCCATTACTTACATTGGGAATGTTATATTTCACCATAGTCTAGCTTGAGTTGTGTAGTGAGCTCTACGTCTGAAGCTAGGTACCCCCGCACCTCCATTACTTACATTGGGAATGTTATATTTCACCATTGACTAGCTTGAGTTGTGTAGTGAGCTCTACGTCAGCGGCAAGATACGCCCACACCTCCATTACTTACATTGGGAATGTTATATTTCACCATAGTCTAGCTTGAGTTGTGTAGTGAGCTCTACGTCTGCAGCAAAGTATACCCGTACTTTCATTACTTATTTTCTTTATAGAATAAGAGTGACGAACAAGCAGTAACACCTGAATGTAAGTGGATGTTGTGGCCAATAGACATCCACATTTATACTCGATTAAGAAACAAAATGCAGATGCGTTGTCACCCCTGAGTACTAAAAGTCAAAGTACCCTTTTCATCAGAAACGAAGCATTCCGTTTCTGGTATAAAGGGTATTTTTTCCGGATCTTTATTCTCTCTAATCTATACGTCTACAAGGTGTATGCGCACGTCAGTTGACAGTTTAAAAGTCGGTTTATGAGGCACATCTCTAGTAATTAAAAAAAATTACCTAGTAGCATAGTACTCTTGCGCGCCACTATTAATGTCTTGTACATGTCAACACTAGTTACCACTAGCGCCCTCTAGTATCGAGTAGCAAAACTAAGAGAGTCAAGATCCTTCTAGAAATTTCGGGACCGATATGTACTCGAACATTCTAGATGTTTCTACAGTAGAAGGGCCTGGAAACTATCTGAGGCCCTATATAATAGCCTAATCATCAAGGGCGAGGTCAATGGAACGCCGTGTAAACTGACCATAGACACTATAGCCTCTCGCACGGTTGTCAGTTCCCAACTTATAAGTCAGTTCCTTGCGAACTCCGCATACAACCGAGAACGCATTAATTTGGTGACAGCCACCGGTCAGCGCATACCCGTCCGTGGAGATTAGGAGATGGAGTTGAAGCTAGGCAACATGATCTACCTGCATAATGTCATCGTGGCTGATATAATGGATGATTGCATCCTGGGCGTAGACTTTATGAGGAAGAATTGTTGTGAGATCGACTTTAAGCAAGGTGTTTTGATATGTAGACAAGAGGAACTTTTCGTGGAAGGGGCGTTACCAGGGAATGTGTACAGCCTTAAGAAGATTGTTCTTCCGCCGAGATCGGAAACGATTGTGCAGGTTAGTCTTCCTCGGAATCCTGGGCAAACTCTTCGTTGTGTACTCGTGGAAAGGGTAGACAATGACCTTCCATGGAAAGTGGCTCGAACCTTGTTCAGAACCGCCGACATCTCAGGAGTACGTGTGCTAAACCTTTGTGATCAGGATATAGAAAATGGCATGTTGGGTGATACTAATGAAGAAGTGGATTGATTGCGTCGGTGCCAATATCTATCGACTGGGATCCCCAGCAAGGATGGACAAACGAGAGTGACCACACTTTTGGAAGACTGTCGCAGCGTTCTCTCCCGAATAAAATGGTGAAAAAGTTGTTACTCAAGTACGCCGATGTTTTCTCGTAAAACGATGCTGACATAGGAAAGACTGGCTTAGTTCAACACAAAATACGAGTACAGGCAATCTTCTTGGCCGCTAACGGATAGGCGATTCTTCTCCTGTGTTTACGAGTAGCACGTGAAAAGGAAGTGGAAACCATGATTGAGGAAATGGTGAAGGATGGTGTTATTGAAATTTCATCTAGTCCATGGTGTTCACCTGTGGTGCTGGTAAAGAAGAAGGACGGCAGCATGAGATTTTGACTACCGCCGTCTGAACAATGTTACGAAGAAGGACAGCTGTCCCTTGCCAAGAATTGATGACACGCTGGACATGCTTACAGGCGTAAAGTGGTTTAGTACGCTGGACCTGAAAAGTGGCTACTGGAAGGTTGAAATTGACCCTAAGGACAAGCAGAAAACTGCATTCTCCACAGGAAAGGGTCTGTGGCAAATGAAGTCATGCCGTTTGGATTGCGCAATGCTCTAGCAACGTTGGAAGGTTGATAAAGCTTATACTTACCGGGCTAATTGGCGATGTCTGTCTGGTCTACTTGGATGACATCATCATCGTAGGCCGTACATTTGAGGAACACCTTCAAAACCTGGAACGCGTGCTCATGAAGATCCAGAGTACCAACCTCAATTTTAAGTCCGAAGAAATGCTCACTATTCAAACGGCAAGTTAGCGTTTTGGGGTATGTAATGTCGGAAGAAGGTATCCGCACGGATCCAGAGAAAATTGCCGCTGTCAAAGATTGACCGGTTCCAAAAGACAAGACACAGATTAGAGCATTTTTGGGTTTGTGCTCCTATTATCGGCTATATGTGAAGAACTTTGCATAGCCAAACCTCTGCACAAGCTAACCGAGGAGAAGCGACATTTCTGCTGGTATGAATGTTGCGATATCGCATTCCAGGAGCTCAAGAACCGTCTGCGCAAAACACCTATTTTGGGGTACCCTGATGCGGGCAAGGATTTTATAGTTGACACAGACGCAAGTGATATAGGACTTGGCGGTGTGTTGTCTCAACGAAATTGTGATCAAGAGATAGTGATAGCGTACTTCAGCAAGTCGTTGTCAAAGCCGGAAAGGAACTATTGTGTCACAAGACGGGAATTGCTTGCTGTGGTAAAGTCCTTGCAGCATTTTAGCAAATATCTCCTGGGGCGGAAATTTCCCTTACGAACTGAACATGCTGCACTGAAATGGCTATTGCAGTTCAAAAATCCAGAAGGACAAGTTGCGAGATGGATTGAACTACTGCAAGAATACGACTTTGTAATCGAACAGCGGAACAGCAGCGGGAAATCTCATGGCAATTCAGATGCATTGTCAAGAAGACATAGCATTTTACTAGGCAAGAGGGTAAGGAAGTGGTATCAGTGAGGATGCTCAGGACAGACCAGATCAGCAATGAGTGGAAGGACAGCCCACAACATGCAACAGCAGGAAGATTCGAACATCAAGATGATTCTGGAATGGATGAACGCCAATGCTCCTAAGCCCAAGTGGAGTGACGTTTCAGCTATGAGTTTGATCACTAAAAGCTATTGGGCCCAATGGGACAGCTTGCTGATTCAGGATGGAGTCCTGTGCCGTAAATGGTAAAATGGTCGGGGAGACAGTTGTCATTTGCAAATAGTTGTCCCTAAGGCTAAAGTACCGCATGTTCTACAGCTGTACCATAATGGTTGTTCAGGAGGCCACCTGGGAGTTAAACGAACTCTACTGAAGATCCGAGAACGGTTTTACTGGGTCCACTGTCGTGACGATGTCGAGAACTGGTGCCGCAAATGTACAAGTTGTGCGGCTTTAAAGGGACCTCAGACTCGTAGTACAGGCGCATTGAAATTGTACAATGTTGGTGCACCATGGGAGAGGATAGCTATTGACTTTGCGGGGCTGTTTCCGGAAAGTGAAAGTGGTAACAAGTACTTCATGGTTGTGATGGATTACTTCACTAAGTGGCCAGAAGTCTTCGCCATTCCAAATCAAGAAGCTTCAGCAGTTGCAGATAAACTAGTTCATGAAGTCTTCTGTCGTTTTGAAGTAACTTTAGAGATTCACAGCGATCAAGGAAGGAATTTTGAGTCTCAAGTATTCCAGGAAACTTGCCGAGTTATGGGTACTCATAAAACAAGAACAACTTTTTACCACCCACAATCTGATGGAATGGTAGAACGATTTAATCAGACATTGGAGAGGTACCTAGCAAAAGTTGTGTAAAAACAGCAACGAGATTGCGACAGGCACATACAACCATTTTTGTTGTCATATCAAAGCGCTGTTCACGAAAGTACATCAGTGACACCAGCTTTCGCAAACTTTGGGAGAGAATTAAGGCTGCCTGCAGACCTGATCACCGGAATACCACCTGATGCCCCACTCAGTATAACCGATTATGCAAATGACTTGCGGAACGAAATGAATGACATTTATGAGCACGTCAGACAGGCGGGCCAGCAAACGTCTGAGAAGATGGAAGAACACGGTATGACCGCAAAATGAACAACAAAGGGTTTGACAAAGGTTCACTAGTGTGGTTACACAATCCAGTTCGCAGCAAAGGGAAATCTAAGCTTCAAGCTAAATAGGACGGACCGTACCGGATTGTGACAAGGATCAATGACGTAACATACCGGATGCAGAAAGGTGCCAGAAGTACTCCTAAGATCGTCCATGTGGATCGACTGGCGCGTTATTATGGGGCCAATAATGCTCGGGACGAGCATGTCTTAGGAGGGTCAGTGTTGCGCGGCACTATTAATGTCTTGTACATGGCAACGCTAGTTACCACTAGCGCCCTCTAGTATCGAGTAGCAGAACTAAGAGAGTCAAGATCCTTCTAGAAATTTCGGGGCCGATATGTATTCGAACATTCTAGACTTTTCTACAGTAGAAGGTTCTGGAAACTATCTGAGGCCCTATATAAGGCCGGTATAGACCACGACCGAGTCAGTATTGAATTGGCGATATAAGTGAATACTTCGAAGCGATACAACTGCGAACTAAAGTGATCAGTAGTACATTTGTGTTTTATTATTAGTGTGGTTTAAGTTGTAATTAGTGCTCTGTAATTAAAGTGTCAAATTTGGTAATTCACTCGGCAGTTTTTAGTTGTCTCGAACCCCAAGCTCGTAACAGTACGTTATTGCGCAAGAAAGTGAAATAAATGAAATTTTATAATTTTATCCGTGAAAGAAAAATACATTAGGTGAGATTTTTGAAGTTAATGTTAATCTAATTGTCATAAGTCATAACAGAATAAAGAAAATTAATAAAAACAAATATAGTGTTATTTTTTCATACTTAAATTTTTTGTCGTAGCTTGCACGCACTCAAGTTACGTTCTAGTGATCTGTTAACCTGTCATCCGTACCGTGCTAGAACGCAAAGACTATAAGTACTAGAAAAATCAAAAGTCGGTTAATATATATATATATATATATTAACTGGATTTTAATTTTTCTCGAATCTCCCTTTAAATGTTTAAATTAAGACACAGGCTTATTATATAATTTATAAATTTTTACAAATGCAATTAGTCCGGCATAATCTGTCATGGTAATCAACTTTATAAGAAATTTACTTTTAAATGTATTGTTTAGAAAAATAATCAGCAAACTAATCTATTAAAATCTGCATACTTTATCCGTATATTATAAATTATAAAGTACCTACTTAAATAGTAAGTAACTAATTTCAGTATGTCACTTTGTTCGACATGGTTATGTCACGTTAGCTTAATACTTGCACAGGGAAGCAGCGTTGGTTTCCACGGCTGCGGTGTCACAAGTGATGAACCGCATCTGGCACCTGGGCCTGGAGGTGTCGAAGGCCATGGTGTTCCATGACTCTGGAAGCGCACCGCCGCCGAATTCACACATCATGGTCAGCGGGGCCCGGATAGCTGTCGAGTCCACCATGAAGTATCTGGGATTGGTGCTTGACAGCCGATGGGAATTCGGACCCCACTTCCGGCGGCTGGTGCCCAAGCTGATGGGTGCAATGGGCGCGCTTTCAACGTTGCTTCCCAACTTGGGGGGCCCGGGCGCCGTCTGTAGGTGGTTATACATTGGAATCGTGCGGTCCATGGCCCTGTATGGGGCCCCTGTGTAGGCGATGGACATGACGGCCAGCAGTCTCGCCATTCTGCGCAAACCGCAGAAGGCGATGGCCGTCAGAGTTTATCGCAAGATTTCCTACGAGGCGGCTTGCGTCCTGGCTGGATCCTCACCCTGGGACCTAGAGGCGAAAGTACTCGCATCATTATATCGAAGGCGCGAGGAAGAGCGGACACGGGGCGCGAGGCCGGTGCAGCGGCAGATCGCGCTGCGTCGAGAGGAACTCCGTCAGATCTTGGTGGCGGAATCCAGAAAATCCAGGGGCGAGGGACTTGGGGAAGTCCCCGCCCCCCCCCCCCCCCCCCTATTCGATGGACCCGAGGAGGAGGCGCGCGCTGGTGTCGGCACCCGCCTCTGAGGCGATGCACGGGGTAGTTGAACACCTCAATACCCCGTACAGGAGAAGAGGGCCTGGCAGACCGGACCAGCACTAGTGTGGGGCTGCGGAAGAATTTGGATTCCCTAGGCCCCGCGCGCGCACGTGCGAGGAGACACCGGGGTGGTTTTAGCCGGTAAGAGTCCGACACGCCCCTCCGCCTTTCCTCAGGCGGAGGCAGTGCATGAGGAATTCCCCCCGTAAAAAAAAAGCTTAATACTCTTTGCTTGCGTCGGTGCTATTTTTTTATATTATTATTATGGAACATGCCTTATTTTCCCATGGCCATTAATTTTTATTTGTTTATGAACACTGTTTGATAGGACTTTAAAAATTACAAAAAAGTGGATACCTAAGTGCCTGCGAAGTTTCTTTCGCCGTAACTTCTCAGAACTCATTTTGGAATGGCTACAAATGGATAAAGAAATATGTTGACGCTTGACATACGTAATTTTAATTTTTTACTACGAAAAAAAATTTGAATAAGTTTATTTTAACCGTATATATTAATCCTTGTATTTCATCGCAGCTAGCGGCTCTACATGCGGTGGTGGGTTCGCTGTTGCTGGGCATCGTAGTGCTGGTGGTGGGTCTGGTGCAGCTCTCGCCCGGCGCGGAGGCCGCGCAGCACCGCTACTATCTGATGGGCACTGGGGCAGCGCTCGTCGGTGCTGGTATGATTGGCGCCGTGCTCAGGTAATAAAAATAATTATATATTCTATGCCCAAGGAATCTCTACCAAAATTTATTAATAGTGTGTTAATTATTGATAGTGTGATAGATAGCTACGGCTAGGTCGAGTTACGGGCATACGTCTCACTTGCAATTATAGTTCACTGTTGGTAGAGGTAGGTATTAAGCTGCATGATGTCATATAAAAACTCCCTGTGGTATTGTGAAAAGAACACTGGCTGCGTTTCCTCGCTGAATGGCTATACTTATTAAATAAATATTAAGATATCGTGTCTGCGATCCAATAAAAGGTGTAGTCCAGAATATTCTGGACATTCCATAAAAACATGTTAAAAAAATAACTTTATTAGTATTTATTAGCTAAAATATTTTTATAAAACTGAAGTATCCAACCAACTTACAGTCGACCTGACGATGTGCAGCCCATGAAGCAGCTAACAACAAACTCAGAAGATCGTAGTCACCTTTACGGACTGAGATAGAATGCCTTACAGCCGGTATTTATACCGGTACCTGTTCTAAAACACAGCACTTAGACAGCTAAACATTTCAATCGTACCTACGAGTTAAATGTATAATAATGTGGGTTGTCTTTCTCAGGTGAGTTATATTTAGGTACTTGCCGCCTAGTCATAATTAATTACGTCTATTAAACACTAATTTTCACTTTAAAACCTGAGATTTTACAAATACAAGCGAGATTTGTTTTGTTCACGAATGACGCCAGGTCTACATAGCCCGATAGCGTGTATGTGAATGGTCTAGTCTAGTCTATCTTTCTCGTTCGATATACTCGTAAAATATGCTTTTTCTCTTTTGCATTGCAAATCTATTCTAACGTTAGTTAAATCTGTAGTTTGTACCGTAGGGCTACGATGGCTATCCGAGTACAGAACCAGGGTACGAAACCTAACTGCAGAGAGGTGTAAAACAATGTAAAGTTATATCCCCGAAACGCTTCACCGCTGCATTGGAAGATGTTTTCAAGCTACTGGTCTAGAAATATTACGGTATTAACATCAATTGCGAGTACATTACTCACCTTTGATTTGCCAATGATATAGTCCTTATTGCAGAATCACTGGAGGACCTAAGCACTATCTCAATGACCTCAATATTGCCTCCCAACGTATAGGTCTTGTAATGAACATGGACAAAACAGAGACAATGTGTAACGTCCATGTCACACCTATACCGAGAGGTCAATCGGCAGACTCAACAGGATTGGCAGCGTTTGGGATATTACGACACATCTTTTCGTTAGGTAAAGGTATCTTAAATCTTGAATAAAAATTGTACAACCAATGCGTGTGGCCAGTGATGACTTATAAATCTGAGACTTGGTCCATTAGGTAGGTAGGTACGTAAGTTCAACTTCGACCGAAAGAAGAAAGAAAAATTATTTATTACACAACACCAACAGACATGGTTCAAAATATATTATGACACTAATCACTAAACAACTTATAACTACAGACTAAAAGAAAACTAAATCCTAAATAAAATGGAAGCAAATTAATTAAAACTTTATTATGTGTGCGGGTTTGGTACAAAAAGATACACTAAGCATAATTTCATAGTATTATCCACGAAGCTGGTTTTCAGTGCGCCCTCTAGTGAGTGACGTACCGACGAATTTGAAACAACATGTCCTCTATTACTACATTACACCTGTTTCATTTACCACACATAAACATATTGTGAGTAAAAAAGAAGAAAAGAGATGTAGATATTCATCATCATCATTACAGCCCTTCACAAGTCCACTGCTGAACATAGGCCTCCTCCAAAGAATGCCACAAAGCACGGTCCTGAGCCACCTGCATCCATCGACTTCCTGCATGTCTTACCAGGTCGTCACTCCATCTCGTGGGGGGACGCCCTACACTTCGCCTACCGGTACGAGGCTGCCACTCGAGAACCTTTCTTCCCCATCGGTTGTCGGTTCTTCGAGCTATATGGCCGGCCCACTGCCACTTCAGCTTACTAATCCGTTGGGCTATGTCGGTCACTCTGGTTCTACTGCGGATATCCTCATTCCTAAGTTTATCACGAAGAGAAACTCCGAGCATAGCCCTCTCCATAGCTCGCTGAGCGACCTTGAGCTTCCTCATACGGCCAGCAGTGAAGGACCACGTCTCAGTTCCGTAAGTCATCACTGGCAACACGCACTGGTTGTACAATTTCGTTTTAAGGTTTTGAGGTATGTCTGACGAGAAAATGTGTCGTAGCTTCCCGAACGCTGCCCAGCCGAGTTGAATCCGTCGATTGACCTCTCGGTCGAAGTTGGACTTACCTCGTCGGACTATTTGTCCCAGGTAAACATACTCGTCAACAACTTCGAGCTTAGTGCTCCCAACAACTACCGGCATAGGTGTGGCATGGACATTAAACATGATCTTTGTTTTGTCCATGTTCATCTTAAGACCTATCCGTTGGGAAACACTATTGAGGTCATTGAGCATAGTGCTTAGGTCCTCCAGCGATTCTGCCATAAGGACTATATCGTCGGCAAATCGAAGGTGAGTGATGTACTCGCCATTGATGTTGATACCGTATCCTTTCCAGTCCAGAAGCTTGAAAACGTCTTCCAATGCAGCGGTGAAGAGTTTCGGGGATATGACGTCACCCTGTCTTACACCTCTCTGCAATTGGATAGGTTTCGTACTCTGGTTCTGTACTCGGATAGCCATCGTAGCTCTACTGTACAAGCACTTCAACACTTCGATATACCGACAGTCAACTTGGCACCGCTGAAGGGACTGCAGCACCGCCCAAATTTCGACGGAATCAAAGGCTTTCTCATAGTCCACATACGCCAAACATAGTGGCAAATTGTACTCTTCGGACTTCTGTACAACTTGCCGAAGGGTATGTATGTGGTCTATGGTGCTAAAGCCCTTTCGGAAACCGGCTTGTTCGGGAGGCTGGAAGTCGTCAAGTCTGCGCGCGAGACGATTCGTAATGACTCTCGAAAACAGCACGTAGACGCGGCTCAGAAGGGAAATCGGTCTGTAGTTCTTCAAGAGAGCGTTGTCACCTTTCTTGAAGAACAAGACCACCGCACTTCTGCTCCACGCCTCCGGTGTAATGCCACCATGGAGGACGGAATTAAAGAGCTTCTGAAGGACTTCAAGTACCGGTCTTCCACCCGCTTTCAGAAGCTCCGCTGTAATTCCATCCTCGCCTGGGGCCTTACCGTTTTTAAGGTGCTGGAGAGCCATCCTAATCTCGCTCAGACTGACATCCGGGATATCTTCGGAATAGTGTCGGATGAGACTCGCTCTTGGATTGTTACTCACACTTGCGTGTGGCTCCAACGATGATGTGTACAGCTGCCCATAGAACCTCTCAATCTCACTCAAAATCTCAGGTGTCCCGGAAACGATGCTGCCACATTCTGTCTTCAGCTTTGACAGTTGGCTCTTTCTGGCAGACAGATCTCTGGCAAAGACTTTGGAGCCTTGGTTCCGCTCGATCGCTTCTTCAATACGAGCTGTATTGAAGTTGCGTAAGTCCCGCCGCATGCATTTGGAGATCTGTCTGTTCAGATGCCTGTATGCTGTCAAGTCTGTTGAAGAATGTAGCTTCATCTCCCGTCTAACAGCCATGAGATTAAGAGTGTGGTCGGAGAGTTTTTGTGTTCTTCTGCGGCGGGTCTTGCAGAACTTAGCTCCGACCGCATGGACAGTTTCCACGAGCTTGTCATTCATATCGTCCACTTCATTGCAGTCTTCCAGGCACTGAAAACGGTTTTGTAACTCGAGCTGAAAGGTTTCGGGACTTTGGAACAGAGCACGAGGGGGACGGAGCGTTGACTTCATTAGACGAGACCTCTCCAACTTAACGTTTAGGTTCAGTGTGCCTCTAACCATTCGGTGATCGCTACCAGTTTTCACCCTCGCGATCACGGAGACATCACTGAACAGTTGTCGTCTGGTCGTCATAATGAAGTCAATCTCATTTTTTGTCGAACCGTCGGGGCTCGACCAGGTCCACTTCCTGTGGGGCCGCTTCTGGAAGAAAGAGTTCATCATAAAGAGTCCCTCTTTCTCCATGAAGTCGGCCAGCTGCTGGCCCCTTGGGTTCCGTTGCCCTATTCCAAATTTCCCTACTTTCAGCTCACCGTTCTCTCTTGTGCCTAGTTTTGCATTGAAGTCTCCCATTAACACCGTATATTGGGTTTTGGAGGAATGCATGGCTCTAGAGATATCCTCATACATTTCCTCCACCTCCTCATCGGGGTGTGCCGAGGTTGGTGCGTAAACCTGTATGACCTTCAGCGAATACCGTTTGGTGATTCTGAGTATAAGGTACGCAACCCTCGTCGACACACTCCCGATCTTTACAACGTTGTTAACGAGAGACTTGTGGACGATAAATCCGACACCTCCTTGGGACAGATGGTCGCCCTCCCGGTGATAGAGCAAGTTGCCGGATTCGAGGATTACCGTGTCCTCCCCCTCTCTTCGGACTTCGGATAATCCTATAATATGCCAGCGCAACTTGTCTATCTCTTCTTCCAGCTCCACGATCTTCTCGTCAGTCCTCAGGGTGCATGCGTTGTACGTTGCCAGGTCGAGTCGTCTAAGGTGGCAACCGAACCTCCACCGGAGATTCTTAGCACTTAGCACTTAATATGTAGATATTACCGATTTCTTAATAATTACATCGAAAATTATTTATTACAAACAATGTGATAATTATAAAATCTACCACTACTCCTTCTACAAAACACTACTAAAATTTACTTGAACATACATGTGAAGATTGCTAATTACGTTGAATCTGTCTATTGACCGAAAAGTCAATGGACAGATTCAATTCGGCAGGGCAAAGTTCTGAAGATTACGACACATCTTCTCGTCAGATATATCTCAAAAACTTGCAAACAAGATTGTACAACCAGTGCGTGTTTCCAGTGATGACTATCTTATTATTTATATTTTAACCCAGCCGCATTTTTGGCTACCTTGACACCTGCTTTTATTGAGCAGCAAAAT